GCAGCCTCGACCTGCTGGGCTCCGGCGATCCTTCCGCCTCAGCCTTCCAAGGAGCTGGAATTACAGGCATGTGCTACCACGCCTGGCTGATTTTTTGATTTATTGTAGAGATGAGGTCTCGCTGCCCAGGCGGGTCTCAAACCCGCGGGCTCAGGCAATCCACTCACTTCAGCCTCCCAAAGGCGCGGGATTACAGGCTGAGCCACCGAGCCCGGCTTCCATCTCTCTCTTATCTGACCAGCCCAGCAGCCGAGAGTCAGAGCTAAACAGTTGGCTCTTTGACCCAGACTTCAGACGCCCCCATCCGCTGGCACGTTCAACCTCAGGGGCGAACCCCAGGCTGTGTCTTCTGCCCGACTTGAGAGAGCTCTGCCCCAGGGTTTCAGAGGACCTGGGGTAACTGTTGTCAAGGTGGACAGAGGACACGAAGCAGAGTTGCTGGCCCCAACCTGCAGGGAGCAGGAGCCGGTCTCCCCTCCCGGGCGTCCCTGAGGCTGGGCGTGAAGGGCAGAGAGCGGGCTGAACTTGGGCTTTGTGGAAGCTGCAGTTTGACTTAAGTGGCTGTCTCCACTGTCTCCGCCCTGAAACAATGGACGCAATTCACTGCATCTCTTCAGACAGACCTGGCCTACCCCTGGGAGAGAACAAAAGAGAAGATTAGGGAGGAGAAACCCCAGATGGATGGCAAAGAGGGAAGTGATACCTGTGAGGGGTCTGAGTGACCCTCAGGCCTGGGGGGACCTCCCTGACACATGCGGTGACTAAGCACGCCCCCCCCACCAGCACTGTGAACGGAAAGTCGAGACAGACTCCGCCTTCGTCATGTCCTGCCGTGCTGCGGCTTCTCTGACGGCAAACTGAATATGTACACGGGAGACCTGGTGGGGGTGGGGACGAGAGGTCTAGGCCTCGGCAACCGTCCAGGCCCCGGCGACCGTCCAGGCCCCATCTGTCGTCAGCACACCTGCTGCTTTTGGGGAGACTGAGCTCAGACGCTGGCCCCTTTCCCTTCCCACCACCCACCTCCCGCAGTTCCCAAACCAAGATACTCCCAGAGGAGATGTCTCAGTGTCCTGTGGCTGCCACAGCAAATGCCACAGCCTGTGGCTTAAAACAACAGAAAAGAGTCTCTCCTAGTTCTGGAGTCCAGATGTCCAAATTCAAGGCAAGGGAAGGGTTGGCTCCTTCCAGGGGTTCTCAGGGAGAACCCGTCCCATGCCTCTCTCCCAGAACCTGGTGGTTGCTGGCGCTTCTTGGTGTTCCTTGGCTGGCAGATGCGTGACTCCAGTCCCTGCCTCTGTCCTCTCGTGGCCTTCCCCTCTGTGTCTCTGTAGGTCTCAAATCTCCCTCCCCTTCTCGTATAAGGACACCGTCATTGGGCCTACCCTAAAACCAAGATGACCTCGTCTTGAGATTTTTCATTTCATGCTTCGTTACATCTGCAAACATTCCATTTCCAAACAAGGCCACACCCACAGGAATCGGAGTCTGGGACATAGATCTATGTTTTTGTCACTGCTTTGGGATGTGATGACCCTGGCATATGAATAAACCATATTTCATCACAACTGATATTTACCCTTTCTTTAAAAAGCAAATTTGAATGATCACATTGAGGAGTATGACAAGATTTACATCTAGATGGAAACGTTCGCCAGACAGTTGGAACTATGTCTCAGGAATATGGGGGAAGCTAGAATGATCTGGAAGCCATGGGAACTGAAGGAGACGAGAACTAGAAGTTTCCTTCTAACATGAGTTTCTGTGGCTTTAAGTTTAAAATAAACAGAGGGAGGGAAGAAGGAGGGAGGGGGTAGTGAGAGGGGCCACTCTTGGAATTCCGATGAGTTCTAAGGTTGGGTTCACTCCAAGTCATTCACATGGTTCCTAAGTTGTCTCTTAGGAACTCTCTGTTCTTAAACAACCTCCGGGAACTCTTTGGACCAAACTCCAGGAACCCAGGGATTCCAAAGGCTCTGTTCTGGGGCTTTATTTTAGAACTTACAGTTGCGTCCAGTCTGCCTGCCCCGGGTGATTAGGTTTGGGGTCATAGTAGAGCGGGTTTGTTCCCCTGACTTGGCCCTGCTGGTGACGGCTCAGTTTTGGTCTCCTGGAGGTGAATTCACTTGTTTGGTGAAATGAGCTCTCGGTGGAGGCAGAAAAACATAAGAGCCACAAACCATGTGGTCATTTAGAAGGCACCCCAGCAAAGCGTCCACCTCATGCTCCTCAGTCTTCCTCTCCTCTTCTCTTTCCTCTCTCCTTCCCATCCATCTAGCCTTTGTTGAGCGCCTGCTGTCACCATGCTATGCCCATAGGAATAAAAATATGACCAAGTACGGTGTGTGTCCATAAGCAATTCACAACCTGTTGAGGGGAAATCCAAACAAAGACAATTCTCACACAATTCTATAAGTTCAGTGATGGAAATAACAATGATAGTAATAATTATTTATTGGCATACTTTCTACATGACAAGTCAGACATTGTAAGAAACTGGTATTATCTCATTTAATCCTTATAAAACCTCCCTTTTACAGACGAGGAAACTGAGGTTCTAGCGGAGGAAATTGCCTGGCTACTAAGTGTCAGAACTTGGACTTGAACCTACATGTGTTGGATTCTAAAGTCTATCCTTTAACTTCTGTGCTCAGGAACACAAAAGGAGGAGCCCTGATCCAGCTGGGCAGACAGGGCATTTATCACAGGTCTGTGGGACTTAAAGACAGTCTTCCTTTTGTGGATTAAAGAGAGTCGTGTGGCCTCAGCTGGGCACACAACCAGAGGATATGCGTCACCTTCCCCCCTTTACAGAGCTCACCTTGATCCCACTCTCCCTGTTGGTCTTTTATGTGCATGGGCAGAGGTATTTACTTTTCACCCTCTTTGATTTTTGGAGCCTTTGGCATCTGTTTGCTCTTCTCAGGGTCATCTGAGGGCAAAGCCCTGTCTAGGCTCCTGCGGGCTCCTTCAAACACTGAAGTGCACCCCTGAGCTCATGAACAGCAGCGGTCTATGGGCTGGGGACTGCTCTCAATAAATAAGAATAATGACTTGCGGTGACACGCAGGCTGACCAGGGCTTCCATCGATCACCTAAAGATGCTTCTTCCCGTGGCATTCATCTTCACATTGCAGAAGGCCACCACTGGTTCTCCATGATAATTGAATCTCCCCAAGTGGAGGGGACTGTCGTTAACAAGCAGACATGGCTTTCATCAGAAAAAACCCTAGCTGCAGATGCAGCACCACCAATGACAAATGTGCCCATTCCTTCTTTTCTGTCACCATCACACAGATCCAGAGTTCTCACGAGGAGGGGTGTGCGGAACAAAAGAAGGGACTTTCTTAAGAGTGCCAGGACTGGGGACCACAGGTCCCCGGAAGAAACACTCTGCAGCCGTGGCTGTAGCATCTTTCTCCCTGGGAACATACATTCCACCCCAACTTTATCCCAGGAGCTGCCACGGGTGCTGCTGGAAACAACATCAGTCAGCCTTCAGGGTGGACCCAGGAAAGCATCTCCAAGAAGGGTGGAGTTATCCTTTGGTGGGGCAGAGGCAGAGTCTCACAGAGAAGGCCGTGTTTGGGTGGGACGTTGAAGGGCAAACAGAGAAGTTGGGCCGCTCGTGGAAGTCATGGTTTGTTAAACCGGAAAGTGGGCGAGTGGGAGCCTACTCAGAAAGCATCCTGCAATCTGGGTTAACTGATGCCTGGGTGCGTGTGGGTTGAAAAGGGGGAGAGAGAAGTGGCTGGCATAGCCACCCTTATCCAGGTCCCTCCCACAGCGCCGGTCCCTTGGGGACTGTGTTCCAGAAGATTGGCTGCTATTTCTGAGTCATTGCCCCGGGTGGAACCCTGCCTCAGGGGCAGCTGTCTTTCCCTAAGCTGTTTCTGCAACAGCTCTCAGGTGCAAGGGCTCTCAACTTCCAGAAAAGACAGGTTGGATTAAAATGGTCCTTTTTGATCCCAGAAGCCAAGGACCAGACCCCCGCCAGTAGCGTGGGGTCCACTGATAGGTCTCTCGTCCCTGCACCCCTGCTCTTAGCGTCTGCTTTGCTGAACTGCTCCCAGATGGGGGTTTGGGGAGGAAGGAAGGGGGAAGGGGAGGCGAAGGATCCGACTCCAGTTCCCGCAGGAATCTCCTCCCAGCCTCCCCCACCCCGGACTTTTCCGTTACCGGACACTTCACTTTGGTTCTCATCCAACCCAGCCCACACCCTCTGGACCATCACAAAAGGACCCCAATTTGGTACATTGGCATCTCTCGAACCAGTTTGTCGGAGAAAAGGCCTGGTGTCTGTAGAGCTGATAACACCCGTTCAAGTCAGAGAGCTGGAAACAGCCAGAGAACTGTGTGTGAAACAGGCAGTGGGGCAACATAGCAAGACCCCATCTCAAAATACATTTAAAACCAGAAAACAGTGGAAGCCTGCCGCACCGTCGGCAGGAAGACAACCCACTGGCAGTTTGTGGTCTGTGATCATTTAGGCCCAAATCAAAGGAGTTGGTCTGGAAGTTTCTACAGCAGGATTTAGATGCGGGAATGGAACAGGGTTTGACTTACAGTTTCTGGCTCTTGCACTTGCACTTGGCTTCTCAGGACCCTCAGAGCCCTTTCCTCTTCTCCCACCCTTCAGCCCCCAGCTTGTACCTGCACCGGCCACCCCTCCCATTCTTTTCAAGGGATTATTATAAGCAATAGCTTCTCATTGTAGGAATTTCAAAAATAATACAAGAAGACAGCATCCATAAACATAGATACTTTCCATCAGGAAAGTTCTGGACCCTGGGGCAGGGAGCATCCTTAGCATCTTATATTTTACTTTAACCTTTAGAAAAAATGTGTTTCAAGATGAGAATTCAAATGAATGCAGTTCTGATGAGACTTGGGCTGGGTGGGGCGGTGGTTGGGGCTTCTTGCTTTCGGTCAGATGGGGGAGAGGAACAGTTTCCAGGGTTTCCGAGGGGGCCCTCCTTCTGCCTTCTTGGTTGTTTTAGGGCGTGGCTGAAGCCGAGTTGGAGCAGAACCTGCCGCGAACTTTCAAAAGCTTCTTCAGAGCAAGCGATGAGGTGAGTGATGGGGGAGCCCAGGACGGGACTGCTGGAAGTGGGGTACCCAGGGTATGGCAGGACCTGGGAAGGAACGGTCTGGTCTTCTTTTCTTTGACTTCCGTGGTCAAGGCGAATGGGGTCCCCACTCTGCTGATCTCTCCTTAGTGGAACAAAGTCACATCCTCATTGTCACACAAGGTCGCAGGATGATTATAATAACGACAGAAATTGTACTATGACCGTCATTACCATCTTAATATGCACAGTGGACTTAGCCAAGTCCAAAGGGAATGATATCTCTCAACTTTGTCTCGAGCAACCAAAGGAGTTTAGGACGCCTCAACTCCATAACCCGTGCCCTCCCGTCTCAGGTGTCAGCAGTCATCAGCAGCAGCATCGTTTCTGTGCAGTCAGGACCCGCTTAGACTTTTTCCCGTGTTTTCCATTTCTCTGCTGAGCACTCCTTGCATCTCACTTGCTCTCATTGACTTCAGTTTCTTTTCTCCTGAAGTACCTCCTTTAGTAGTTTTCTCAGCCAGAGTCAGTTGTTGGTAAACTCATTATCTTAATTTTGCTTTTAATCTTGAAGAAGTCTTACTCCATCACCCTGGCTGGAATGCAGTGGCACGCTCACGGCCACCACAGCGTTGACCTACTGGGCTCATGCAATCCTTCCACCTCGGCCTTCCAAGTAGCTGGAACTGCAGGCACGCACTACCATGCCTGGCTTATTTTTTGATTTATTGTAGAGATGGGGCCTCGCCAAGTTGCTCAGGCTGGTCTCGAACCCCTGAGCTCAGGCAGTCCTCTTACCTTGGCCTCCCAAAGTACTTGAGCCATTGTGCCCAGTCTAGAATTTTTTATTTGTTTTTTTAAATTTAGAGACAGGATCTCATTCTGTCACCAGGCTGAAGTACAGTGGTGCATTTATAGGTCACTGAAGCCTCAAACTCCTGCGCTCAAATAATCCTCCCACCTCAGCCTCCTGAGTAGCTGGGACTGCAGGCACACACCATAGCACCTCGCCTGAATATAGAATTCTAGGTTCTTTTACTTTAGAAGCTTCTGTCATTGCTTGTGAAAAATCGGCCTCAAATCTACTCTCCTATATATTAATTGTCTTTCAACAATTAATTGTCTTCAACACTGCAGTGTCTAATCTGCAGTTTAACCCCATTTTTGAAGTTTTCTTTTTCTTTTCTTTTTTTTTTTTTTTTTTTGAGCTGGAATCTCACTCTGTCACCTAGGCTAGAGTACAGTGGCACGCTCACGGCCACCCTAGCCTTGACCTGCTGGGCTCAGGCAAGCCTTCCACCTCAGCTTTCCAAGTAGCTGGAACTACAGGCACATGCCACCACACCCAGCTAATTTTTTTATTTATTGTAGAGACAAGGTCTCATCAAGTTCCCAGGCTGGTCTCGAACCCATGGGCTCAGGCAATCCTCTTGACTCCTCCTCCCAAAGTGCTGGGATTACAGGTGTGAGCCACCACGTCCAGCCGAGTTTTCTTTTTAATTTCAATGAACAGGTTTTTTATTTGTGAAAGTTGCATTTTGTTCTTTTCCAAATCATTCTGCTCTCCTTTGATACAATTTTGTTCTACTTCTATTTTTCAATTCCTTTTATGTCTTTAATCATTTTATACATACTCATTTATCATTCTCTCTCTTCTTCTCTCTCAGCTCTATTATTTGTGTTTCTGGAGAGTCTTATTTTACTGTTTGCTACATTTGCTGTGTCTTCCTATGTGGCTCTGTGTGTGTGTGTGCATGTGTGTGTGTGCGTGTGTGTGTGAGAGTGTTTTGTAATTTGGTATGTGAGCTCATCTTGCTATAGGACCCCATGTTTGTGTGAGTGTGTGTGTGTGTGTGTGTGTGTGTGTGTGTGTGTGTGTGTGTGTGTGTGCGTATGTTGCAATTTTGGTGTGTGAGCTCATCTTGCAGTGGGGCCGTGTGTGTGTGTGTGTGTGTGTGTGTGTGTGTGTGAGAGAGAGAGAGAGAAAGAGAGAGAGAGAGAGATGTGTTTTGTAATTTTGGTGTGTGAGCTCATCTTGCAAAGGGGCCGTGTGTGTATGTGTGTGTGTGTGTGAGAGAGAGAGAGAAAATATGTTTTGTCATTTTGGTGTGTCAACTCATCTTGCTATAGGACCCTATGTGTGTGTGAGGTGTGTGTATGTGTATCTGTGTGATCATTTTGATGTGTGAGCTCATCTTGTTATAGGACTCTGTGTATGTGTGTGAATGTGTGTTTTGTAATTTTGATGTGTGAGTTCATCTTGCTATGGGGCCGTGTGTGTGTGTGTGTGTGTTTTGTAATTTTGGTGTGTGAGCTCCTCTTCAGCAGCACTTCATCTGTACCCTCTGCTTTGGTTTGGGTTGAGGAATTGGTCCTCTTAAGTGGTTTAGGATTTCTTCTGCCAGGCATCCTGGTGACTTTGCCGGCCAAACTCACCTTATTGTTGTTGATTCCACACCTCAGGGGTTTCTAGATCTTACAGATAGTGTAAACTCAGCTCCAAGCGCTGGTGAAGGCAGGCCTAGCACTATGAATTCCCACAGGTGCATCTTTGGTTTCTCCTAGTCCCAGGGTGAGACGGACAGGTTCCCTTAGCATCTCTCTGCCATGATGGTTGGTTTCTATTTTCTAATCTATCCTCTAACTGAGGGAATAGCACACAGAGGACCCCAGATTTACTGGATTTGCTATGGAGGGACAGGAAGTATCACCCTTCTAACTTCCATAGGCCTAAGGTCTCATGTCTTGTTCCCATCTTGAGAAAACTATCTTCACATGGTCTTCAAGGGCCCTGAGGCAGCTTTGCCCAAAGTTTTGGTGGTCAGTTCCCCCTTTGCCTTGACTCCCTAGGTGTTCCTCACTCCCCTGGGAGGTTAGTGAGTTTGTTATTGTCTGTGTGGCACTCAGAGGTCTTTTGTGAGGATGAGGTTTTCAGATGACCCGTTTAGACTTATTATTTATTATCCTCGTAGCATCCCTATGTATGAGTGTTTTGTAATTTGGTGTGTGAGCGCATGTGTGTGTGTGTGTATATATAATATATAATAAAAATAACCCATGACGTTATTTTTAACTCTTTTCTTCCTACAGACAGTTTTATCCGTGCATAAAGTCCGTGAAACGGGTAAGAGACATTCCTAGGAGAGAAGGTACCACCCTGAAGACGAGATAGGATCCCACGTGGGGACACATGGGGCAGGGGCATCTGTGAGGCAATGGGAGACATGCCCCAGCTGGGTTTTCTTTCTGCCTAAGAAGAAGAATGAAGCAAGCACTTATGAAAAGTCCTAGAATCTCAGCGGAGGTGTCTCAAAGGGCTCATAGTTAAGCTGTTTAGAAAAGGTGTAGTCTGGCCAGGTGCAGTGACTCACACCTGTACTCTCAGCACTTTGGGAGGCTAAGGCAGGAGGATCACTTGAGGTGAGGAGTTCAAGATCAGCCTGGGCAATGTTGCACGACCTCATCTCTACAAAAAATTTACAAAGTAGCCAGGCATGATGGTGGTGTGTGCTTGTAGTCCCAGCTACTTGGGAGTCTGAGGCAGGAGGATCACTTGAGCGCAGGAGGTTGAGGCTGCAGTGGGGTATGATCACGTCACTGCACTCCAGCCTGAGAGACAGAGCGAGACCCTATCTCAAGAAAGAGAGAGAGAGAGAGAAAGGAAGGAAAGAAGAAAGAAAAAAGGTTTAGTCTAGGGGAGAGGGCCTAGAATATGGCTGACAACTACCTGAAATGGTGTCATCCGGATGTGAGCTGTGGTCTGTCCTGGGGCAGCAACACAGCCCATGAGGTCAAACCTGTGTCTGGGGAACCATCAAGCCCCGGCATGATGGTGAGACCACAGCCTGGAGCCCAGGAGGACACAGACTCACTGGAAAAGGAAGCGGGAACAAACATGGAAGGCGCAGGCGTCCCTTTGCCTAAGTTCAGATGGGATGTGAGAAGGGTGAAGTGTCCAACCTCGGGAGTGCGAGCCTTAGAACAGACACCTGCCCGAGGGCGAGAAAGTAAGCCTGTGGCTTTTTGCAGGAGGACTCTTTGTAAAGACTCCAGAAGATCCCGGCCTCAGCAAGATAGTCACCGAGGAGGAAATCCAGTTCTACGTGCAACAGTTCAAGAAGTCTAGTTTCAGGTAGGGAGAGAGCTGGGCCCTGGACACACGTGAGAGCTGGTCAGCAGAGTGGGACTCCGGCTCCCAGGGGGAGGGCAAGCCCCAGTTCTCCTGAGTGCCAGGCCAGCCTCTGCTTGGCCTCCAGTGTTGGGAGGCTCACTACCTCACGGGGCTCAGCCTGCTCTCCCTTATGCTTGCGGGCCCCACCACAGGGCAGAGATTTTTAAGTGTTTTATCAGTCATAACTCCCCTGAGAATCAGATGACAGCTCTAGGATCTTTCTTCAGAAAATCACAAAATTCCACATCAACTCGAAACTCGCATACATTTTGGTGCTTTTGCACCACTTTCCAGGGTCCTATTAGGAGGCGCCTTTGCGCTGCCTCCTGGTGTCCCGTGGGGGGGCGGGGCCTGGCCAAGGGGAGGGAAGTGGCCTCTGGATGGGGCGGGGCTAAACCAAGCTCCCCACCCTCAGAGGGTCCTGCATGGCTGCCCTCTGTGTGTCCCTAGAGCCCACTCCGAGGCCCGTCAGCCCCCTCCGTGGAGTCCCGTGCCCCTGCCCGAGGCCTTGCTGAGTCAAGTTCTGCAAACGTGCGCCCTGGGCTCCGCATTGCTCTTCCTGGGGCGACTGGCCATGCGGAGCGGGCTCCCGTTGCGATCTGCAGCAAAGCCCCCTACTCAGAGCCTCCCTATTTTTACTTTCTGATCTGCTCCCCCAGGGGTCCCCTAAACTGGTATCGAAACATGGAGAGAAACTGGCAGTGGGGATGCAAAGGCTTGGGCCGGAAGGTGAGTGCCAAGTTCAGGGTCCTCTCCCCGCCCTGGAGCCACCCTCTGGGCTTTCCACGGGCCCTAATGTGACTCTGGGTCAGAGCCGAGTGGGCAGGTCTGCCGGCTTCCTCTTTCCCTTGGGTTAGGGAGTAGGAGACTTCACTCAAGGATTTCCCTTAGGGCCTTTCTGGCTATTGCTCCCCTCACAAGGGTAGAAGGTGGCGTTGGGGATGGTGCAGGGTGTGTCCGGGAAGCTGCGGCATCCCAACCACAGAGGGTGTTGGGTGCTCTCAGAGGGACACGGCTTTGTCCTCTGGTTGCGTCACCTTGCACAAGCCAATCTCTGAGTCTCGGTTTCTTCGCCGCCAAGCACAAGATGGGTTTTCAGTCTCTGGGCAACGGAGTCCCCCAGTTTACATTCCAAATGTCCCAAGAGAGAGCACATTTCTCCCCCGTGAGATAGCACAGGTAGCCAGGCCTTCACCAGCTCGCTCGGTAGCCCTGGGCACCTCCCTGGTTCACTCAGTGTGCATGAACACACCTGTTATGTGCCAAGCAGCATGCTGGGCCTTGGAGATCCTATGGCAAATAAGCTGGTCCGGTCCTGGTCTCCCAAAGTTAGATCTTAAGGCAACAGAGTGTATCGCAAAAGGCACTTGACCCTGACCCTCTGCTGCTGCTTCTGCGATGTGAAAATGACAACAGTAGCACCTCCCTCACAGAGATGTGGAAGAGTGGAACGGGTTAATACACGTGAAATGTCAAGAACCATACCTGGCACACAGTAGCTCGAGCAATGTTTTTGGTCACGATCCGTGACCAAAGAAAACTACCAAACTGCAGTCGGATGGGCAAACTCTCTCTAGGCAGAGGGAAATAATGACAAAGGTGGTTGGGAAGGTGAACCCCGCTGGTGCTGAGATTAGGGAACCCCCTCCTGCCCGGTCTTCCTCCTCCTCTCCCTCCTCCTTTCACGCCTCCCACCACCAGCTCACGGAACGTTCTAGAGTTTCCAGAGCCTCACGGCAGCCTCAGGACTAGTTTCAGCCTCAGAATGACTTTTGACCTTGCCCTGCTTCCTGTCTGCGGAAGAGGCTGTGCGCAGAAGAGCCATTCTGCATCCAAGTGACCAGCTGAGCAGGTCCTTAGCTGGGGAGGAGGCGGGACTCTGGGAGCTCGTGACAATGGCAGATGAGCACAGAGGCTAGACGGAGGCCTCTTTTGACTCCCCGCTGCCCCGTTGTGTCCACCTCGTCTGCCAGCAGCTAAAAGGAAAGTCATTTTGCTGCCGTTCGTGTTGCGGTCACTCTTATGGCTGCCCCGTTCTCTTGGGCATCTTGGCCGCCCCTTTCCAGTGTTTGTTTAATTTGGAAAAGAGGAATCTTTGTTTTCATTCAGAGTGTCTTTCCTCCCTTCCGGTGCCATCAGTTTGGTTCCAAGAGTTATCCGTCATACCCGTAACCCCTGCACTCTGGGAGGCCGGGGCAGGAGGATTGCTTGAGCTCAGGAGTTCGAGACCAGCCTGGGCCATATAGCAAGCCCTCTGCAAACAGAATCGAAAACTTAGCCAGGCGTGGTGGCACGCTCCTGTAGTCCCAGCTACTTGGAAGGCTGAGACAGGAGGATCACCTGAGCCCAGGAGGTCGAGGCTGCAGTGGGCTGTCATCGTGCCACTGCATTCCAGCCTGGGCGACAGAGTGAGACTCTGTCTCTAAATAAATAAATAAATCTCCAGTGAGCGAGACTCTCTCTCTAAATAAATCAATAAATACATAGCGCTATCTCTAGTAATAGCCATGAGTCCCGTATGGCAGATTCGGCAGACCCAACGTGAGGACCACAGCAGGGTGGGGGGTGGGAGGGGCTTCTCAGGCGTTATTATGGAGGGAGGGCTTCCTGGGGGAGGAGAACCACCCACTCCCGTTTCCTGTCCTCCCTTTCCAGATCCTGATCCCAGCCCTGATGGTGACGGCGGAGAAGGACTTTGTGCTGGTTCCTCAGATGTCCAAGCACATGGAGGAGTGGGTGAGGAGGTGGCCCTGCGTGGGGTCACTGGGGTATGCCAGGAGAGGGCTCAGGTGTCCAGAGGGGAGACAGCAGTGGAGGGCACGCCTGGCATGTCGGATGGGACAGGGGGTTGAAGCACTTTCCCGGCAAGGACTCCGTCAGTAACGTCACTGTCGCCTGTTACAGCCAGAAACCGTAACTGAAAGATCGGATGTGGTCTCTTGTTCCCTCATCAGTCCCCTCCTAAATAAGGCCGTGTTCTAGGGGAGAGCAGAGAGGAAGGCGTCCCCTCACAGGGGCCTCCACGCCCCTTGCGCTAGCCCGACGCAGACCTGTGGCATTCTCCCATTTACCCGTCCGGGGGCGTTTCTTTCAGATCCCCCACCTGAAAAGGGGCCACATTAAGGACTGTGGACACTGGACGCAGATGGAGAAGTAAGGAGGTTGGGGCGTCCCCGGGGGGGAGGGCAGGGCTCTCTGCCCACCTTCCACGAAAGCCTCCTGGTTTAATCGTGCCGATGTCGGGGCCTGGCCTGGCTACCCACTGCAGTCCCCTTTGGTGGGGTGGGTGGGCCCATGCCAGTGAGAGTGGCCTTTTATTATTTCTCTCCCAGGCCGGCCGAGTTGAATCAGATCCTCATCGAGTGGCTGGAAACCGATGCCCGGAATCCCCCTGTGGTCTCCAAGATTTAGCACATTTCGTGTGTGTCCACACCAGCTGGCACACCCACCTCCCCACCTGCTGGGTGCCACTCTTGGTGTCCAGAGGTGGCCTTACACCCGTCTCTCGTGACAGCGGCGTTGTTCTGAAGGGGTGTGCAAAAAAAAAAAAAGTATGATTTTCTTTAAATGAAGCGAATCAAATTTGATGTAATTTTAGACCCAGGAGATATCAGGTGGGATTAACTCTCCAGGTATAAATGCTCTGTCCCTTTATCTCAAAGGATGTGACGTCCTGCAGAGGGACAATGGGGTGGCCAGGGGGTGGCTTCTCTTCGACTGACCAATTTGTAGTTTTGCAGCAAAATCAGTGGTTCACGTGGAAGTATCTCGGGAGAGCTTAGGATGCTTGACTCAATAAAGCCACGACGACAGCAACCGCATTCGCTTCTTGGGAAGGTGGTTTCGTTGTTAGAAGGGTGTGTGGCCCTCGAATGTGCACTTCCCCTCCGCCCCCGAACCCACTTTGGCCTCTGAGCTCCATGGGATCTGGGCCAGGAAATCACCCCTGCTCGCCTCCAGCCTGGCCCGTCACCCCTGGGTCCTAACGGCGCTCCAGCATCAGGTCCTCCAGTCCATAACAGTGCATAACGCGGGCATCACGTGGATCCTCCTTGACCTTCCCTGGAATGCATCCACCTGTCGCCTCCCCACCCAGGCCCCACCGGCCCCCCAGGCTGGGTCCCCTTCCCCACTGGCCCCAGGCTGGGTCCCCTCCCCCACCAGGCCCCAGTCTGGGTCTCCAACCCTTTCTCCCCCTCCCTTGGTTCATGGACTCACAGACACACAACAGCCTTGCCACACTTGCTGCAGGGGAAGCTTGTAGAGGACACGTCTCTCCAGGCTGAGTCCCCAAGGACTGTTAGCATGCATTGGCCCAGCCACAAGGGCATGCGTGTCCGTGGGTGGGAAGAAAGCCCGAGGCAGACAGAAATGTGAGCACTCTTGTTTCCTCCGTACCCGTGTGCCTGGAGTCTTAACACGTGCCATCTCTGAACCTCCCAGAGGGTCCTTGCCACTTTAACAGCTGGGGAAACTCAGGTTCAGATAACTTGTCCAGGGCCGCTCGGCTAGTTGGCGGCAGAGCCTGGATTCAGACACAAGCATGCTCTTCGGCCCTCAAGGCTAGCTCCTACCAAAAGTTTTCTCCTTCCTACATCTGGAGCCAGACCATCCACATTGGACATCTGGTGCGTTTTCTCACCTTGTGACCTCCAGAAAGGGTTTCTTTGCCCTAGTTCCCTCATCTATAAAAAGGGGACATTAATAAGACGTAACTCGTAGGTGGTTACCAGTAGTGAGTATGTTAAATATGTGCAGAGTTCTAGAACAGTGCTTGGCATGGAGGAAGTGCCAGTTATAAGATAACGCCCAAGTGTTCCTTATAAAATTTCCAACCTATCCTAGGACAAAACAAACCTAGGAGGGCTTTCCATTTTCAGCCACACCCCCACCTCCTCCCTCTGAGAATTAAAGGGCTCATTTAAAAGGCAAATATGTGGGCCAGGTGCGGTGGCTCAAGCCTGTAATCCCAGCACTTTGGAAAGCGAAAGGATTGCCTGAGTCCAGGGGTTTGAGACCAGCCTGGGCAGCTTGGTGAGACCTTGTCGCTACAATAAATCAAAATATTAACTAGGTGTGGTAAGCACGCGCCTGTCATTCCAGCTACATGGAAGGCTGGTGGAAGGATTGCCTGAGCCCAGCGGGTCATGGCTGCAGTGTCTGTGAGCATGCCACTGTACTCCAGCCTGGGCAACTGAGTGAGACTCCAACTCAAAAAAATAAAATAAAAGGCAAATATGTGACATAGGGGAATGACTCTGTAAGCCAGATAACATTTTCCTAACCAGTGTGTCCAAGCTCATTTGTAAGAGAGAAGTTACGGGCAGAGGAAGAAGAAACATCTGAGAACACTTCACTAGGAGGACAGACAGGCAACCTGTCTCTCTGAAGGTCTCACTTCAGATTACTCTATCTAGTAATTTCCATAAACCAACAAAAAGACCTCTGAAATTCTACTCTTTTGGCAAAGAAGGGTTGAATATCTCAAGTCCACAGCACTGCAACAAAAATATAACCAGTTATACAAGATTGACAGCTGTAAGGAATGATAAACCAGACAAGGTCTTTAGGTCATTCAAGAAAATACTGTAGGCTGGGAGCAGTGGCTCACGCCTGTAATTCCAGCACTTTGGGAGGCTGAGGCAGGAGGATCGCTTGAGGCCAGGAGTTCCAGACCAGCCTGGGCAACATAGTGAGACCCCATCTTTACAAAACATATTAAAAAATTAGCTGAATGTGAGGGTACATGTCCATAGTCCCAGATACTAGAGGCTGAGGCAAGAAGATGGCTTGAGTCCATGAGTTAGAGACTGCAGTAAGCTATGATTGCACCACTGTACTCCAACTTGGGTGACAGAGCGAGTCCCTCTCTCTAAAAAAAAGTTTTTATGTCAAAGTAAATTAAAAAAACAAAAGACTGGAGTGTCCAGAGCTGTATTTCCTGTTTTGCTATGGGGAACTTCGGGCCACATGTCAGCGGCTGCAACCATGGTGTTAACTGGAACAGGCAGGGAGAATTTTCAGATCCTGTTTTAAGTACACCATGCTTGGAGTGTGTTCAAACTCATTTCATTATAAAATAACTTTTTAATTTAATTTTTTAATTGGCACAGAATAATTGTACATACTTATGGGGTAGATAGTGATGATTTGATACATATAATGTATAGTGATCCAATCAGGATAATTAGCATATCCATCTCAAACATTTATCATTTCATGTTGGGAACATTCAATATCCTTGTAACTATTTGAAAATATTCACTATGTTATTTTTTTTTTTTCTTTTTGAATCAGAGTCTCATTCTGTCGCCCAGACTGCGGTTGCAGTGGCACGCTCATGGCCACCACAGTCTCAACCTGCTGGGCTCAGAAGATCCTTCCAGCTCAGCCTTCCAAGTAGCTGGAACAATAGGGGTATGCCACCACACCTGGCTAATTTCTTGATTTACTGTAGAGACAAGGTCTCACCAAGTTGCCCGGGCTGGTCTCGAACCCCTGGACTCAGGCAGTCCTCTCACCTCGGCCTCCCAAAGTGCTGGCATGACAGGCTTGAGCCACCACACCTGGCTATATTATTGTTAACGATAGTCATTCTACAGCGCTATAGAACACGAGAACCATTCCTCCCATCTGGCTGGAATTTTGTGCCTTTAACAAATCTCTCCCCCTCCCTCTCCCCTCCCTGTCCTTCCCAGCCTCTAGAATCCTCTGTTCTGCTTTCTACTTCTATGAGATCAACTTTTTTAGCTTCCACTGTGAGTGAGAACATGCAGTCTTTACCTCTCCGTTCCTGGCTTATTTCACTTAACATCGTGTCCTCTAGTTCCACCCACGTTGCCTCGAATGACAGGATTTCATTCTTTTTTATGTCTGAATAGTAAAAAAAAAAATATATGTCATTTTCATTTCATGACTACAAAGGGAATAATTACAAGCGTATTCACCTCGGCGAAAAGAAATCGCTTTTTACAAAGAGACACGGCTGTCCCCATGTTCCGGCTCCCACCCACCAGCCAGTGGGTTGTGCTGCCTTGAGGAGGCTGAGGCCACCTTGTTATCCTGACAAAGGAGGACCACAGAGTGGCTGTCAACTAACAGCATCCACGGTTTCCAGGAGAAACGTCTTCTAAACAGTGAGGCAATTAGACTAGATAAGACAAAAGCTATGTCTGTCTCTCTGAATACAACGAACCCTTGGGTTTATGCCTTGAAGTGACTCTCAGCCGGTTTCCATATTGGTCATTCCAACATTATTAAAAGCAAACAATGGTGAAAATATCTAGGCCAGAAGCTCAAAGCTTTTTCTTTTTTTTAGAATAGGAATTGGGTGAAAAATATTATGCCTCCCTGTTCAAAGAAGTCCATCTGGCCACAAAAGATAACATGCTTTATTACCTTAGCAATTGTTAGAATTTCTCCCAAGTGTTAGCTGCTGCACCCAGGTGTTAATTGTCCATCTTCCCTGTTAGACTGAGACCCTTGAGATCAGAGGCTGCCTGTGATTCAGCCTTCAACTAACCCAGCCAGGAGTGGTGGTACAAGCCTTGTCCCAGCTACTCGGGAGGCTGAGGCAGAAGGATGGTCTCAGCCCAGGTCAAGCCTGCAGTGAGCCATGATCGTGCCACTGCACTCCAGCCTGGGTGACAAAATGAGACTCCAACTAAAAAAAAAAAAAAAAAAAAAAAGACTGTGGCCATATCTGCTGATAGAACCAAATTCAGAGGGAGAAGATGTCCAAATTCTAGACATCTACAAATCTTTGCTAGGATCGTTGTATAAACCTCAACACAACAGAACACCAGTGGGTTTTACCGCATCGCACCCAAATAAAATAAAGTCACTTCAATAAGATAACTGAAGCATTTAAGGTTAGTGTAAATGTTTGCAGTTTTCATATTTAAATGATATAAGTAGAATCCTTTTGTCAATTAATCTAAATATATTTTGCTACACTCAGATACAAGGGTTCTGAGACTGGTACCTGGAGAGAGTCAGTGGCACGATCATGGCTCATCACAGCCCCCAACTCCTGGGCTGAAAAGATCCACCCTCGTCAGCCTCCCAAATAGCTGGGACTATAGGCTCACACCACCACACCTAGCTGATTTTTTTTTTTTTTTGTAGAGATGAGATCTCCCTATGTTGCCCAGGCTGGTTTCGAACTCCTGGACTCAAGAGATTCTCCCACTTCAGCCTCCCAAAATGCTGGGATTACAGACACGAACCACTGTGCCCTGCTGGTACCTGCTTGGAAAGAATACCAACGTTTCTATTCCTGTAAGCTCGCTCTGTTGTTGCTGTTGTAAAATTAACATAATATACAGTTTACCATTTTAACTATTTTTAAGTGCACAATTCAGTGGCATTAAGTACACTTACATTGTTGTATAACAATCGCCACCATCCATCGAAAGTCAAGAACCTTTTCATCATCCCAAACTGAAACTCCGTCCTCATGAAACACACCCCATTCCCCTTTCTGCCTCTGTGATCATACAGTGTTTGTCTCTTTGTGTGGGGCTTATTTTCTCTGTCCTCTCGAGGTTTATCTATATTGTAGTATGGGTCTGAATTTTCCTCCTTTTCAAGTCTGAATGTTATTGCATTGTGTATAAATACCACACGTTGTGTATCCACTCCTTCACCAGCGGACTCTTGGGTTACTTCCATATTTTGGCTGTTGTGTATAATGCTATGAACATGGGTGTACCCGTATCTCCACAAGGCCCTGTTTTCAGTTCGCTTGTGTGTGTACTCAGACATGGAATTGCTGGATCAAGTGATAATTCTATCTTTAAGTTTTTGAGGAACCGCCGTG